ACGCCTTAAGTACTGCCTCATGTGACCCTTTTATAGAAGATCTCAAAAACGTACGCTTTAAGTTCCTTTTTGGTAGGGATTAAAATTAAAATTTTAAATTAAGTTAACGTCAATAATTAATTTCTACTACATATTTCATGGGATCTATAATATTTTCACTACACATTTCATTAATTTTTATCAAAATTTATTAAAAATCTTATTTTAATCTGGATAGATGTCATTTGTGGGGCTTATGTCTCAAGGCTAAGTCTTACAAAGCCACTAAAGTGTTCGCCCATTTGTTAAAATGTGCCGTCTGAAATATTTTATCCATTCTTCACACAACCTGAAAATTTATCTCATTGGATTTTTTTTTTATTTTATTTAAAAAATTAAAAAAAAGAAAAAGAAAAAGAAAGAGAGAGAATCAAGGACGTCATTGAATTTGAGATTTTATATTTTCATTTGATCATTTGTTTTAAGTCAATACTTACGGCATTGAGTGTGCCTTGAGGATTTTTTAACCGTGTCAAGTATCGTTACTCAAGTATATCAGGCCCTTATTTTGGCACAATTTTAACGAAATTTTGGGAAAAATATGTTTTGAAATAATAAATTTTTAAAGAATTTATGATTAAAAATAAAAAAAATTAAAATTTACATGTAATATTATTTCACTAAAAAAATGTGATTGAAAATGAGGAAATAGAAAAACAAAGTAATTGAAGTGGAGTCCAAACAGGAGCTATACATATTTATATATTAAAAGAGCATTTTTCAATTAAAAAAAACGTAATAAATAGGATATTTTATTTGAGAGTAACGTGATATGGATAGATAAGGCCTCTAATATATTCACCATTATTGTTTTTTATAATGTCAAATAGTAAAGACAAAAGATTTATGTCATAAACTTTAAAAAAATGCAGGCAGGCATGGTAGCAGCAGATATAAATAAATACAATTAACATTTTCAAACCTTGACCCAATTGGTATTTGATGCACTAAAAGAGTGCCAAGTGTTTCTATTTTCAATATTTTATGTATTTTTTTCTTCAATAGAAACATCGTTATCTTGATTGTAAAAAGGTTGCTGACGTTTGAAAATATCAAGCTCTACAATCTTGCTACTTATTTTAAGTTCTAACTATCGATTGTGTAATTGAAATTGAATTTTGTGAAAAATTAAGCTCAAACATTTGCTTAATTTATAATTTTAGCACTCCCAAACAAATTATACAGCATACAAAACACAAAGTGCCATAAAATGTTTTAGAATTATGTCACTTCATATTAAAATAAGACTACAATTCTTTCTTCGATCTTGTTTTAATGTCATACACCAAAATTATTGTGATCCAAAACATTATTTAAGTTCATGGTCCTTTTCATTCATTTTATTAAACAAAATGAGAAAATTAAATAATTAAAAGTTGAATAATTAAAATAAAAAGATAAATTGAAACCTTGATTGAGAGGTATTGGTAGGGCTGCAACTTGGATTATAAAAAAATGAGATAATGATACACGTACATAATGGTGTAGATTGTAAACTCGTGTGTACATTTTGATGCAATGGCCTAATGGTTTTAGTCAAAGTCTGGGTACATTTGTAAACTATTGATGATTGCAATAAATAACAGCCAAAAGAATAAAATAAATTGTCGAGGGGGTTTTGGTGGGGGGTTAAAATTAAATTTTTGATAGAAATTTTTGTAATGTGTGGTTGAAAAGTTGTGAATCCCATAAAATATGTTATTAAAATTTAATATTGAGAATTTAATTGGATTTTAATCCAAAACAAATGGGGACTAGGTATGGTGTACACTATATTTGAGCCCCACTTTTTAGTGGAATAAATTTTATAACATTAATTTTTTTGTGAGTGTGTGATTAAAAGTAAAATTATAAAAAAAAAAAAAAAATTTACTTGTAAATGATGCATGGATAAAAAGTATGAAGCATGCGTATTTCAAACGTATTAGGTAAGCCCTTGTTTGAGTCCCATTTTTCCATAGCACGCTTTTCTCCAAACCTATTTTCAATAACACGTTCCTTTAATAAAATAATTTTACATTACACGTAAATCTAATTTTTTTTTCTATTTTTCAACCATACATTTTTTATAAAACAACTATTCCAAAATCCATTTTTACCAAATGATAGGGCTCAAACAAGGGCTAAGTATGTTGATCTCAAAAACTCGAAGGTTTTACTATCAACGGATCTCATATTGCATTCATGTCTATTTATTGTTTTATTTGGACACTCGAGCAAAAATTAGGTAGCAAAATGAAGAGACCGAAAAAGGAATCGTCGATCATTTGCACTCAGATGCTTAAATCCACTATGTATACAAGATATATCACTGAATTTGGCGTGAAAGACACTGGGAGGGTAAGGCTTTGAAGCTCAAAGTTTTTGCTAGAACTATTTATTTATTGTAAAAACAGTGATAATGGTTAAATACTTTAAGTCATTACTTTTAACTTTTAAGTATTTATAAGTTATGAATCCTATAGAATACATGCGTAATGAGTAAATAGTAAATTAAGAGTCATAAAAGATGTAAAGATTAAAAAAAAATGAATTTAACAAATTTAAATCATATTTTGCCCCTATTTGTTCTTGCTAAAAATTATAATTTTAGTAAATTTTAAGAAAAATGATAAAATATATGGTTGAAAAGTTAGCCCTTGTTTGAGCCATATTATTTTCCTTAGAATGCATTTTCGAATAGTGTATTGATGAAAAATTTGTAGTTAAAAAATAAAGAGAAGTTTTGGATTTACGTATAATATTATTTTATCGAAAAATGTGTAGTTGAAATAATGTCAAATCACTGTTTTAAGAGTATATTTTTAAAAAATGTGGCTCAAATCCGCTTTTAATAATTATTGATTTTAACTTAAAATTTTATTATTGTTGTTGTTGTTGTTGTTTTAGTAATAACCAAACACAAGTTTTAAACTTTACCAAACATGCGCTTGATTTTAATATTTTTGAATAAAAATATCCCACCTCTAAATAATTGCATAAGCCATGGGGTTAAAAATTCAAATAGTTAAACAACTTTGAACAATATTTTTTATTGGCCATTAAACTTAAAAAAAATTTCGGACGGTCACTTAGCTTATCAAATTGTTATCTCATGGTGATTAAACTTTAAAAGTTTTGTGGATGGTCACCAGAACTTATCAAATCATTATTCTATTGAGTATTAAACTTTAAAATTATTTTGAATGGTCACCAAACTTATTAATTTGTTATCTCATCCGCCACTCAATATCTCATGGTGAGAAAATTTGACGGACTGACAAGTGAAAATGCTGACATGGCACATTATTATTGCTAGTTGACGAAAATCAGTAGAAATAAGCTTTCATCTATTAAAATGCTAATAAAATTATGACTGAATTTTAACATGTTGCATGTTTCCCTTTATTTATCTATATTTTCATTTAGTATTTTTTACCCCTTGTTAATTGCACTTTTTATAAGGGTTCGTTTGATTGCAAAGATGTAATTTGGGTGAAAAGAAAACGAATTTCAGGGAATTGAATTGCCTAGAAATTGTTTTCTTGGGAATTGTAAATTATTATGTTTGATTGGTATAATTTTTCACATGAAAAATGTTGAAATAAAAGTTTTTATGGTATTCGTTTGGTTTTGTTTTACATGAAAATTATCAATTAAAGAGATCGATTTTTACTGGAGATGAAATTTGTTTTCATTACAAAAAAAAAAATAAAACAAAAAACAAAAAATAAAACAAAAATTCAAGAAAATCATCTATCTTTTAATGCTCGTTTGGCTTTGTTTTACATGAAAATTGCTAATTAAAGGAAAATATTTTTTTACAATAATTCTTGAAATTTGTTTCCATTGCTAATAAAAAAAAATGAAAAAAAAATTAGTTACACTAACTTGGAAAATCAATTCCCACTCCATGAAAACCTTGAAAAATCCTATGTGGCAAGATAACCAAGAAATGTATTTCCATGGAAAAAAAGAGCCATCAAACACTTTTAAAATTGGAAAATGGAATTCCTTTTCCATTTTCCATGTAAAATCCCTCCTATCAAACATACCATAAGTGTAATTTTGAAATGATTAATATTATCACGTCAGTGAATTCGTTGAATTTTATAATCGTGAGTTATTGAGTGTGAATGAGATACCGATTTAACCCTTGTTTAAGCCACATTATTTTCCTTAGAATGCATTTTTGAATAGTGTATTGATGGAAAATGTGTGGTTAAAAAATAAAGAAAATTTTTGGATTTACGTATAATATTATTTTATTGAAAAATGTATGGTTGAAATGATGTTAAATCATTGTTTAATGATATATTTTTTTGAAAAAATGTGGATCAAACATGGCCTTAATAAATTTGCTGACCAAAAACTTTGGAAGTTTAATGGCCAATGGGATAAAGCTTTGATAAGTTTGTTGATAATTCGAATTTTTTTTAAAGTTTAATGGCCAAATGGATAAATATTTGATAAGTTCGATGACCATCCGAACATCTTTAAAGATTTATTGTTCAACAGAATATATTGTGTAAAATTTCAATGATCATTTGAATTTTTAACTGTAAGTTATGTCACTGACTCACTGTAGTGGACTGCTTTGCAAAGCGTTTTATCTAATTTCTGTTTATCTTCTTTTAAAAAAATTCTTTGATTTTTACATTTATTTTCAATGACACTTTCATAGAGTAAGATATTTTGCATGTAATTTTTTTTAAAAAAATCCTATTTTTTAAAAATACATATTTTAAAATTACTATTTAAATTTTTTTTTTTTTTAAAATAATGACCAGGGCCTAGTATGTACCCATGTGCCACCTACTGAGAAGATTCGTGTGCAAACAAAATTTCTTGGTTTCAACTGTAGGATCCAAAAAGGCCAGATGGATATTTACACCTTACCGCTCGTGTGGTCACCTGCCCCAGTTGGCCACTCTCCTCGTATTATCGAAACCTTTATCATCGTGGCATATTTTTACAAATTACAAGCTCCATTCCCTCTTTGATTAATCTTTAATTATTATTAAACAAATCATATAAAATTGCAAGTCTACAACCCATAAACATTACCAATCCCATTAATCTCGCCTATCTTCAGGTTTCTCTCTTTCATAAATCTTGAATCCAATCTCATTAACCTTGATAATCCGACACATCCCCGACCCCTCCAAAAGAGTATGTAAATCATTAATCAAAATCCCATACTTAGCCGGACCCCATAGTTTTTTTGGTGTCTTAATTATTATTAATGGCATCTCTGTTATTTTCTTCTGTTTCAAGAAGTTTTTGTGTTTTCTTCTTTGGTAGTAGGGTTGAATACTTTAAAACTGCTTGATCTGAAAAATTTTTCTAGGTTTTTTTATTCTATACTTGCAATTTTCTGAGGGAAAAAAAAGAAGGAAAGATGAATGTGTCGAAGTCTCGGGTGTGGCAGCCTTGCAAAAAGAAGAGGCTTTAGAATCTAGGAAACCAGAAATTATTGAAAAGAAACCTTTTTTATCTAGAGAGAAAGAGGGAGGGAAAAGAAACAGGAAAAAAAATGGATGGGATTTGTATCGGAAAATCGGCGTAGTCCACGAGAATAACCAGTGTTGATTGAATCGGTACACACAGAGATATACAAGGAGAGAGATACGGTGCTTGGGCATGGCGATGTCATCGAGATTAAGCGGCGGTAGCAGTGGCGGAAGTGGGAGGACGCGCGTAGGGAGGTACGAACTGGGTAGGACGCTGGGCGAAGGGTCATTTGCAAAAGTGAAGTTTGCAAGGAATGTTGAGACAAATGAGAATGTGGCCATCAAGATTCTCGATAAAGAAAAAGTTCTTAAGCACAAGATGATTGGCCAGGTACTGTTGGATTAATAATTTTCTTGTTTCTATATCACTTTCAGCTTCTTCTTTTTTCATGGGTTTTACTTTAGATTGTGTTTATTTACTGAAGAAGTTTCCGTTGACTTTTCAATTTTATGCACTGATGTTTTTTTTCTTACCATTTTATTGATCTGTCGTGTAGAATGATTACTATTGGTATCTGATTAATGTTTATCAGGGTGTTCTTACTAAAACAAACAGAAAAATGAAATGTTTTTCATGATTTTCTATGTTCGCAATCGCTTATATAATGCATCAAATGGTTTCCTCAAACATTGAAACAAATTTGAGTGGATGATTAAAATTTATTTTATAGATTGAGCTATCTTATATTGATGTACTCATGGATGATGCAGATAAGTGACTGTAAAATATCTTACAGCTGCTACATTATTTCCCCACCTTTGACATATTTAAAACATTTTTGATTGATCTTAATGTTGTTTAACTTGCAGATTAAGCGCGAAATCTCCACCATGAAATTAATCAGACACCCAAATGTCATCCGCATGTATGAGGTTGGAATTTAACTTGTTTAGCCAACTTCTCAGGAACAATTAGGCATATAGTGCCGGATGTTCCTGGAGATGTGGGTTTTGTATGTGTTTCTTGTATATTTAGTTTCATAACTGATGAATATGGCATAATCTAGGTTATGGCCAGCAAAACGAAGATATATATTGTTATGGAATTTGTTACTGGAGGTGAACTCTTTGACAAAATTGTAAGTTTATGATTGCTTTTGTCTTATGATTCCAGTATGATAATCTAATTAGGACAAACTGCAAACTTGGTATCACTTTTTGAGGCCAGGCTACTAAAGGCAGGCTGAAAGAAGATGAAGCAAGAAAATATTTTCAGCAGCTAATCAATGCAGTAGATTACTGTCACAGCAGAGGTGTTTACCACAGAGACCTGAAGGTCAGGATTTAACTATATTTTTAGTTGCTCGCTTAATTTTTTTTTAATCAAAATTTGGAATTGTTGTATTTTTGGGGACAACAAAAGACCGGTTTTAATTTCGTTTCTTTGCATGATTCATAGCCAGAGAATTTATTGTTGGATGCCAATGGAGTTCTTAAAGTTTCAGACTTTGGATTGAGTGCTCTACCTCAGCAAGTTCGGGTTAGTAGATGGTTCATTGTACCGCACAAAAAACTTGTCATTTTTTTGTAATCCACATTCTGTTTTTATTTCCTTGGCGCATAAGGGTATTTATACTTTTGTGTAGAACCAGTATGAGTTATTTTTTTGGTTCTATACATTTCATCATAGAACATAAAAGTAGGGAGAAAAACCAGAGTAAATAAAAAGGGACAAACTTGCATTGCAGCTTCTTTCCTTTCTTTTGAGAGTATTTGTGCTATTCGATTAGTGTCTAGAAAGGCTTGTGATTTTGACTATTGGTATTTGTCAAAAGCAATTTCGACAATGAATGCTCCTCCAAAAGTAAGTATACAGACCAAAAACTTGTAGCACATGACTAATCCTAATTAATAAGTAAGGGCACCTTTTTCTTGATCATAATCTTGTATTTTTCGAGATAGTAACATTAACATAACTAAAGATGCACAAGATTTTTCACACTCAGATTCTCAATTTGCTCGTGTAGGAAGATGGGTTACTTCACACAACATGTGGAACGCCAAATTATGTTGCTCCTGAGGTATATAATTAGCTTTTGATGCAAATCCTATAATTTATATTTTCTGAATAATTCTTCACGCTCAATCTTTTTGGTTTGCTTAATATCCAGGTGATCAACAATAAAGGTTATGATGGAGCTAAGGCAGATCTCTGGTCATGTGGTGTTATCCTTTTTGTCCTTATGGCTGGCTATCTGCCTTTTGAAGAATCAAACCTTATGGCATTATACAAAAAGGTAATTTACATGTCTTCATTTTCCAGTTCATCATCTGCGTAATAGTTTTACATGGATTTTCCACCAGGTTGGTGAAACATTGAGAGAATTATATTTCTATATATTATGTGCTTTTGAAGTGAATTGATTTTGTCTGATCTCTGAAGTCTTCATGTAAAATTTGTGAACCTAGCCAAAGATAATTGATGTTTTGCGGTTGACATAATAATTTTTTTTTCTGCTTCAACAAATTATATTGGTTCGAACCAAATAAAATGCAACAGTTACTTGAAAAGGCATTTTGTTATTTTTGTGTTGTAGCTGTGAAAGAAACTGAATAGATCGAAAGAAGGGGGGCATTCTAAGCCTATGTTGCTTTCTTGTTTTTCTAGTTTTTTTCTCTATGAAGTTTCTAGTTGCATGCGTCATTTTTTGTTAAGTATGCGACAATTTGCTGTTTGTGTTTTATGGAGTCAACCTAAATTGATCTTGCTTTCACATGATTGCAGATATTTAAGGCTGAATTTTCATGCCCTCCTTGGTTTTCCACCAGCGCAAAGAAATTGATCAAGAAAATCCTGGATCCCAATCCGTCTACAGTATGTTGACTTTTTTTGATCTTATCAATTATCATCTCTCTGCATTTTATATTTGTACCTGAAAAAAAATGGGGAAAGTGGAGAAAATGTTCAAAAACTTCTTTATTTTTTTAAGAAAATAATGTAGTGTCTCACAACCTATTTAGTAGATCTAGGTTGTTTATTGTCATGCCAATTACAACTTTTGAAGTCATGTATGATTGTCATGTGAAACAGCGGATTACAATTGCCGAGGTTCTTGAGAACGATTGGTTCAAGAAAGGATATCAGCCACCCGTTTTTCAACAAGAGGATGCTAGTCTTGATGACGTTAATGCTATTTTTAATGAGTCAACGGTTAGTATCCTTGTGATGCTCTCCTAATATAAATTTTGGAATGCTTTACTTATTATGCACCTCGGTTACTTATTTCAATGGAATATAAATTGGCTATTTTTTATTTGCATCCAGGATTCTCCTAACCTCGTTGTGGAAAGGCGGGAGGAGCGCTCCACCACACCAGTGACAATGAATGCCTTTGAGCTTATCTCCAAATCTCAGGGTCTCGACCTTGGTTCTCTCTTTGAAAAGCAAATGGTACGTTTTTTAGATTTGCCAGTGCAGTGATCAAATAACTCAATTTTGAGAATTTCAAGAGAATGCCTGACATTTTCTCTGATGATAGGGGCTCGTTAAAAGAGAAACAAGATTCACATCCAAATGTCCTGCAAATGAGATAATCTCAAAAATTGAGCAAGCTGCGGTGCCTCTGGGGTTTGATGTGAAGAAAAACAACTATAAGGCAAGCGACACACTTTTGGATAATTTCACCCTACATTTCTCTTAGTTGAGGCGGAATATTTTTGTAGGACAGTAGAACATAGCTTTTGTACCTTTCTCTATAGTGCATGTTTAGCAATTGCTTTTAATTCTTAAATTTTGAGCAACTTTTCCACTTGTGACTTCTTGAGGATCATCTTTCTCAGTTGAAACTTCATGGGGAGAAGACTGGGCGCAAGGGTCATCTGTCAATTGCAACAGAGGCATGTTGTATAAAGAAGCTTGTGAATTACTCGTCATACAACAGAAAAATATTTGGATATTGTGGGATTTTTAACTGATATTTATTGCAGATTTTTGAGGTGGCTCCTTCACTTCATATGGTCGAGCTTCGCAAAGCTGGAGGAGATACCTTAGAATTTCACAAGGTAATGAAGTTAAGATTTATGCTGATAGAAATAGCTCACCATCCAAAATGTGCCATCGTGGAAAAACAAGACTTATAGATATGTATTATGTTATGGAAGATAACCATTTGCTTGGAAAAGCTAGATTGCCATTTTTTTCATGAACGAAAAGATTGAATAATTTTGTCCATGTTTCTTGTTCGAAGAAGTATCAACTGTGTTTATGAGTTCAATTTTGACATTTCTCAATATGCAGTTTTACAAGAACCTCGCGACTGGGCTGAAAGATATTGTCTGGCAATCAGGTGATGAAGTGAAAGATAATGAAGTGAATAGTGGTATGTTACTGTAACTGAATTTTGCATGATATGCATTAGTTAGCAGGTTTTTGGTATTCAAGAATTCTTTGAATCAAGGGATGATCCCTAATTTTGATAACAATCAGAAAAGCATTCAGAAAATGAGTAATCGCACGTAGGTCTACAATGATTCACCCTTGTCATAAAATCTACCTGGCCACTGCAGGTTTTCACTATAATGAAAAATAAGAATACCAGTTCTTCTTCACCTCTCTTGCCCACACAAAAATGGTCCCCAAAAATTCTTTTTCATGTAGGAATATTTGGCCGATCAACGGTCGACAGGATAAGTCTACAGTATGATTAGGTTCTACATTATCCAACTAGAACGTCAAAGAATTATTTCCATGCCTATTGGCCCCTTGAGTTTGGTTTCTTGACTACAGCTTGCAGTATTGGCTTTTGATTGCTTTGCGTATCAAGACTCATATTTATGTGCATTGTGCACGCACTACAAGAATTTTGCACTTTCCCTACAAAATTCCAGGAGACATTGAGATTTGTAGTTTTAATTCACTTTTCCCCACAGATATGACATTTTGTAGGATATGATTTGCTTTAAAATTTTCGACAATGGGAAGATTTGTGTCCACAAAAATTTATATTTTTTTCTCGATAAAAAATTTTGATGGGTAAGATATATTTTTGCTGACAAAAAAATAAATAAATAAAAATAAAAATAAAAATTTGTAGGCCAATAATTAGTGGGAAAATTTTTCATTTTATTTATATTTTTAGTCCGTCCAAAATTTAAATTCGAATCGAAAGGATAATTGAAAAGAAAATTATTTCCACATTTTTTGACTTTCTTTCTCTTCTATTTTCCTTTCCTTTCATTTTATTTTCCTTCTATTTTCCCTTTTTTTTTTTTTCCTTCCAGGTTTTCTTTCTTTCCCACGCTTCTTTCTTCTTCTCCCTTTGCTTTTCTTCTACTCTATTACAACTTCCGTCACCATATTACCGTCCCGCCACCTTCAATCAGCCATCATTATTTGTTTTTTGGTAAAATATTTTGGATTCAATGTTATATTGATTGACATAATCTTTTTGTGTTTTTATATTATTTTGAATAAGGTTAAAAAATTTGTTACAATATAAATAAAAAATAAAATATATGAAAATAATTTAATTTTTCCCTACGAATTCTTTCATAATAATCTACAAATATGCTTTTCTCACAAAAAATTATTTGTAGAGAAAAATAGTTTTAATCCACAAAAAATATGTACCATGTTTTCACAAATATTTTCCGCACAAAAAAATTATTTTTAGGGAAAAATACAATTTAGCTCACAACATAATTTGTAGAGAAATGTTTCGTAGGCGAAATTAACTTTAGCGGATGAACAATTTTGTTGGGAGAAAATTTACGCGACAAATTATATTTGTCTCCAAAGGGTTTATAAGGAAAAATTGTAGCCCACAAATCCAATAATTTGTCGTCTTTTACCTATCCCCTTGATGTTTGTCCCACAAATATGCTTACAATTTTTTGTTTTTTGTCTGAAAAGATTTTTTTCCCACAAATAAGAACATTTCCCTACAAATAAATTTTGTAAGGGAAACATAAATTTCTTGTAGTGACGAGGATGGTATTTATATTATCTTGTTTGAAGATTATTGCAGGAATTTCAAACTTGTATTATTATTCTGTCTTTACGTCTTTTATACGAATTTGAATAGGAATAGTAATAGTTTCGCCTATGTTTACATTTTTTTCTCTTTTGCCTTGCCTTTTGGAATGACAAATTTGAAGGTATATCTATTGTGTCTTGAATTGTATAGTTCTGTTTCTTATTTCACAGGTGCGGGTGGAGTTTCATCTTGAATAGTCTTTCTTTCAAGATATGTGCGTGGATTTTCACCTTTTTTATGTAATAAGTTGTTATGACATGTATCTATATTGTTTCGGGAGTCTACGAGTTACTATTCTTGAATAGTTTGTCCTTTAAACCTTTGATATAACTTAAGAATATACTTCATATTACTTGTTATTAAGTTCCATACGGATCAAATAGTATTGAAAATTGTTGTTTGTATAGCATTTGTTTGATAGCTTTTTTCCAAGCTGTCTCACAAAGATGGGGTCCACGATTATCTTAATCATGGACCCCACCCACTTACATGTGTATGTGCTGTGAAAAAAGTGATAAAAATTGATGTACCTATAGCATCTTTCAATAGTATTTTAGGCTCTTTCTGAGTTGAACATATGTTTCTTCAATGCTCATGTTATATAAGAGTGTGGCTCGGGAATCAACTGTATTAGTTTCATAGTTATGTTTAAATCTAGTATGGCATTTATGGTTGTTTACTAAGCCCCTATTCGACAACCATTATTTTCGATTTTTTTCTGCATACTTATTTTCAACATACATTTATACAATAAAATATTTTGCATGTAAACTTAAATTTTTTTTCCTTATTTTTTAACTACACATTCTCGTAAAAATCATTGTTCAAAACATTATTTTTTTCAAAATAATAGTTGTCAATCAGGGGCTAAATGAGATTCGGACAAAGTTATTGTGTAATAAACACTGGCCTGGATGTTATATTTTTCGTAGAAGGGGACAAGCTAATTCTAATCTCATCCAATCCATGGAAATTCTGTCTCGAACAATAAATTCAAACCAATATGCCAGGTGTCATTTGTGAGAACCAAATAAAAGGCAAGAGGATGTGGCCATTGATCAAGAAAGCTCCACTCTTCCCTACAATCTCAACTCTACAGCGACGGAGCAGCCATGTCGACTGTAGCGCCACCATTTAGTTCTTCGCCATGCTTCTCTGCTCGAAAATCACCATATGGGGTCTCAGGTTCCAGATTAGAGTCCAATCTTTTAACAACTAATCCCAAGACACTGCTGGGCAAACATCCACTCTATACACCAACTCATTCTAAAATCTCCCTTCAATTCAAGGAGAAAATCCCGCGCCTCGAAATCATGGGCATCGACTCCGGTCGAGCACTGTCCCAAAACCCATTTCTCCACATTGCTTCATTGCATTCCATTCACAAAATCATCACCTTCCTCTAGTCCAAAGGCATCCATCAAAAGGATTTAGGCAGAATCTTTGGCATATGCCCACAAATTCTAACATCCGACATTAAAACAAATCTTAACCCAGTTTTCAATTTCCTATCCTATGATTTAAAAGTCCCTGACCAGAATTTTAGAAAGGTGATAAACAAATGTCCCAGACTGTTAATTTCTAGTGTAAGACACCAACTTAAACCTGCTTTTCAAAGATTAGGCTTCCAGGATTTGTATTCATTAGCTTATCAGGACCCCATTTTGTTAATTTTCAGTGTGGAGAAGACATTAATTCCTAAGCTGGATTATTTAGTATCCTTAGGATTTTCGAAAGATGTTGCTGTCGGAATGGTTTTAAAGTGTCCCGGATTGTTCACTTTCAGCATAGAGAACAATTTTAAGCCTAAATTCGAGTATTTTGACGAGGACTTGGCGGGTGAATTGGAGGAATTGAAGTAGTTTCCACAGTATTTTGCATTTAGTTTGGAGAAGAGGATAAAGCCCAGCCAAGGCGTATGGAGGTTTTACCATGTGGAATTGTGGTTAGTTTGCATTGACATCGAAGAGCACTGATGAGGAGTTCAGAGAGTTAAAAAAGGTTAAACCCCAATCTTGAGGGTTCCCACCACCCTGCCTTTGGAGTATCATAAAGGAAGTAAATCGCGGGATGTGCCATAGCAGACTAGGAAACAAGAGATTGCCCGTATACTGATACCCACAAAGAGTCCAATTCCATATCTCAGGGAATAGTACAGAGTTAATAACGCAAGGGGGTGGATAAGGGAGCTGAGTGACATCCCTTCCCATCTCCAATCATCTCAAAATCTTTCAACGAGTCGAACCGAATTATTCGAAATCGTGAATTGAATTGAGTAGTAAAAATGATTATTGATGAATTAGATGCTTTCGTGACAAGTTTAGCACGTTAAATAGAACAATTGATATAAAGTTTGTGTTTTTATTTATTAATTTTATAAAAATAAATGGCGGTGAAAATGGTAGAAGTTTACGACAGAAGAATGAGAAAGGAAAAACAATTTTTTTAACAATGTTTTTCTTATTATTATTATTTTTTTAAATATTAAAATAAGAACCTATTTGAACTTCATTTTCGAAAAATTAGAGTACGTCTGATTTGTTGTTTTCAATTTTCGGTTTTGCAAAATATTCAAAACTTGTTTAGTCTGTTATGGATAATTAGCACAAAACTCCTTACCTTTCAATGTTATTGCGCAAAAGATCCTTATCTTTCATTTTTTGGCACTTTTACTTTTACCTTCACATTTTATTACGAAAATCATCATTTTCATCATATTTCTCATGTAAAATGACAAATATACCCCATATTTAAATAAAAAAGAAAAGAAAAGTTAAAGAATAAATTGCAATCATATTCCTAATTTTTTTTTTTAAATGTTCAAATAAGTCCAAATAAATTATTAAAACGGTAATTAGCACAAAATGTCTCTACCTTTCATCATCATTGTGCAAAAATGTTCCTACCTTTCATTTTTGACATTTTCACCCTTATTTTTTATATTTCATAGCAAAAATCATTATTTTCATCCATTTTCTCAATTAAAAGCTGTAAAATGACAAATATACCCTCCTCTTTAAATAAACAAAAATAAAGAACAAATTACAACTATACTAACAAAATTTAAAACAAGAAAAATTAATAAATTTTAAATAAATAATTAAAAAAACTTACTTTATTTTTTAATTATTTATTCGAAATTTATCCTCCTCTTTAAATAAACAAAAATAAAGAACAAATTGCAACTATACTACCAAAATTTAAAACAAGAAAAATTAATAAATTTTAAATAAATAATTAAAAAAAATTAGTTTATTTTTTAATTATTTATTCGAAATTTATTTTTACTTTTTTTTACAGCTTTTAATTGAGAAAATGGATGAAAATAATAATTTTCGTAATGAAATATGAAATAAGGGTGAAAATGTCAACAAATGAAAGGTAGGAACGCTTTACATAATAATAATAATAATAATAATGAAAGGTTGGAAATTTTTGTGCTAATTACCATTTTAATAATTTATTTGGACTCATTTGCACTTTTTTTTTTAAAATATTTAGGATTATGATTGCAATTTATTCTTTAACCTTTCTTTTCATTTTTATTGTTTTATTTAAATAAGTATATTTGCCATTCTACACGAGAAATTTGATGAAAATGATTATATCCGTAATAAAATGTGAAGGTAAGAGTAAAAGTGCCAAAAAATAAAAGTTATGAACGTTTTGCACAATAATATTTAAAATATAAGAACGTTTTATGCTAATTACCCTTTTCGAAAAATACATTTTCGAAAATAAAGTTAAACTTATAACATAAAATTAAAACATCTTAGCGTTTTGCATGGTTTTAGTGAAAAATCTGAAAACGCTCAAACTACGACAAACAAACGTTTAAATAAAAATTTACTTAAATAAAATTATAATTATAATTTTTGAAAAACAAAAAATATAAAATTCTAGAATTTAAAATTAAAAATTAAAAATACACAATTTTGATAAATTCTAAAATATAAAAAACTTAAAATTTGGAAAAAAAAATAGAGTATAAAATTATAAAAAATTATTACAAAAACAGAAAATTGAAAAAATGGAACTATAAACATTCTTAAAAAATAAAAAATATAAAAGTAAAAATTGTTTAAGCTCTTGGTGACTATTTACACATAAGCCGTAAAAAAGAATTTAAATAAATATAAATATAAATATTCTCAATTCACATCATTTTTGTTTTTATTTCCTATATTTTGTTGAATTGATTTATTATTTATTTTACTTTTGTAATAAAAAAATTGTAAAATTAACCAACTTTAAAGTGTATTTTGTTTGATATTATATTAATATAAAATTATTTTCTTTTACTAAAAAAAAAATTTATGGAATAAAATATCAAAAATAATTTTTCCAAAGTTCAAAACAAACATGTTTCTAATTTTTTGTTTTGAGAAACAGTTTTTTGAAAGTTAGGGGGTCCTAAAATATGGCGTCCTTTGGGATTTCTATTTGATTCTATCGAAAGGCCAATGAATTAGAATTTTCATATAGGTCTAGGTCATTTCAAGGCAAGCGAATCATTCATCATGAAGAGGATAAGTTTCAAGAGAATGATCCATGACAAACCAAACACATTATTCTTTTTGGTTGTAATATATGTACATAATAATTTATAGGAAAAATTGTAGCAACGGTCCCTAACCTTTTTGTTTTTTGTAGATTTTACCATAACCTTCATTTTGTACCAGTGAAGGTCCCTAACCTTTTATAAATATGCACCTGAGGTCAATTTGGACGGAAACCGTCCAAAAGACTGTTAGTTGACTGAGAAATTTCCTTGAACTATTTGCTACCACGACAATTTTATTGGATGTTGATACATTTATGGACGGTGTTTTGGATGGTTTTATTGGGTATTGATTCCTTAATTTTCCTAGTCAACTAATAGTGTTTTGGACTGTTTACATCCAAATGGACCTCAGGTGCATATTTATTAAAGGTTAGGAACCTCCGCAGGCACAAAATGAAGGTTAGGGTAAAGTTTATAAAAAATAAAAAGGTTAGAGACCGCTACTGCAATTTTTCCTAATTTATATAATGGTTATATATACATAATGTGGTGAGATAAAATTGAATCAAAATTTCTTTAACCAAATAAAAAAAGAAAAATTCTCCACTTCCTTTTTGGCAAAACATCTATATGTAAACTATTATTAATAAAAACGAATAATGTTATATGTATATAATAGAGTTTCATAATGATTTATATATAGATAATGTGTAAAAAACAGTGGAGAGGTTTTTTTATTTGGTTTAAGAAATTTTGACCCGATCTTATCTCACTACATCATGTGTATGTAAATTATTACGTAAACTATTATATAAATGTAGCATGGTTGTACTAAAATAGACTTTTAAATAGAAAATTGAAAAGAAACTCAAAATTGAATCCAAACCAAATGGATCCTTAGA